TCGCTCAAGAGAACGTCGACCTGTATTAAAAAAATAAATAAATTTTTAATATCAGAAGTTTTTTGTTTCTCTTCGAACCTCGTTTTCGTTCAGGCATTTGACTTCCAGCATCAACATATCGTTCAGGATCTTAAAGAAAAAAAAAAAAAGCTCATTGAAATTTTATTTTATACGAATAATTAATTATTTTACCTTTAATTTTTGGTAATTTAGTACGTTTACCCAAAGTGATTGGTTTCAAATTTGATTGTCGACTTGAACTTCTTTCATATCGATTTGTTAAATCTTCTAAATCTTCTTCATGTTTTCTTTCACCAATTAAATCATAATTTAAATCTTTTCGTGATGTTTCACCACCACCACCACCACCAGTTGAACTTGAACGATTTTGTGCTTGAAGAATTTCACGAAATTTTTTAAAATGTGTTGCTTTTATATCAACTTGTTCAGGATTATTTCGATTAACAAATGTTCCATATTTAAGTAAAATTTTTGAATCAACTGTATCAAAACGATTATAACGAGCACCCGTTAAAAAATAATGACTATTATGACCATCAGATGTTTGAAAATCAAATTTCTTTTTAATACGATGTAATTTTTGTTCTTGTTGTTCAACACAACGTCTATAACGTTGTTTTTCAATATTTGTTAAATTTGGTTCATAAACACGATTTAAATGTTCAAAATTTGGATTCATTTTAATGTATCGATTTAATATACTATAAAGAAATAAAAAAATATATATATGTAGAATAATATTATCTATTCTATGATAATGCAAGTATAGGTGGCGAAACTACGAAACTGTGGTAGGCTAAAAGTTACCATAGATTCAGATGTCATAAACTCAAACATCCTTTTCTCAGTCTATTAGATTTATAGATTTATGAAGTGCATTGAAATTTGTAGACAAACCTCAAAATTTCCCTTGAATTTCATATTGACTAAATGTTGAGCTCTACATTTTCGATGATTTGAAGCAGAATTCTTTAGGAAACATTTTAAAGTGTCAAACTACGTTTGAGTCAGGACTTCGTGCATCAAAGAGATTCTAACAAGCTATGAAAGAGTTTGGAATAATAGTTTATTTCTGCCGAGATACTGTATTTTTTTTAGCAGAATATTGTAGCGTCTTTTAGGAATACCGAGAAAACAGAGTTTTGCTTCTATCTTAAGATTTGACTATGTCCGAAGCATGTTTTTTCATGCCGCTCGTATACAAGGATAAATTTTTATGTTAAGCACAATGAAAAAAACCTAAATATTTCACAATAAATTATTCTCATTAAGAGATGTCTCAATGCAAAGTTTCAAGTCGAAATTTGAAACAAAGTTTTCTTGACTTTTCTAAGGGGAACCACGACATTCTACTACAAAATACTGTATATCGACAGTAATAAGCTATTAGCCTGAACTCTTTTCAGGACATTCATAGCTAAGAAATATTTTCAATAACATGAACAAACTCACAATGAAATTTCCTTTTTTTTCTTCTATGAATGCTATTGCTGCTTTATTATTAATTCTTTTTTTTCAGTCAAGCAAACAGAAAACTCTTCATTCGAGAAGTAAAATTAAGTGAAGACAAACGTTAGCATATCCTTTAAATGCACTTTTTTTTTCTTAACACAATTTATTAATTTTTTTTTCTAAACCTTATCAGCTTTTTTACAATATAAAATGTGAGTTGGAAATAAGAGAAATTAACATTTTATTTTTTCATCTGAATGACATAAAGAGATTCGCCTCTACCCTACTTTTAACTGTCTGGAGGACATCTTACAAAGATTGTTGAGTATATTCGGGATTCAAAACGTTCTACGGCTTATCAATTTAAGCAATGTTTACATGCATTTTTATATAATCATCAGATTTTTCAAAAAGTGAATTTTTGATCGTTAAATTCCTGTGAGATTCTGAAAAATCTAATTATTGTATAAAAAAAATTGCATTCGACAGGCTTATGAATTATCATGTTCCGTTTTCAAAATTGAATATGTCTGGTCAGGTGTTCATCATGAGCAATTCATATTTTGAATTCCTTTATAAGATGATCAGACTTATAATTTGACTGAAACATGACAAGTCTTTTTCCAATTATATTACTAAAAAGGCTTGATTGTAAGGAAACGTCTTTTTAGTTTAGTTTGTTATGACGGATATTGCTTTGAAATTAATTGAAGTGTCAACTGGAAAATTATAAATAGAAAAATGAATCGCAATTATAAGTGCAACTGAGTATGGATAAAGGAATAAAAATAGTATCTTGATCATAAAGGCGAATTGAAATGTTTTTTTCTTTTTTGTTATAAATGCATAGTTAAATTTTAAGAATTTTCAGACAAATGAACTTATACTTATGAATACTTACTCGGTTCGACGAGGCAATCGATAGGTTTCTGTTTCATAGAGATTGTCATTGCGAAATTTTAATTCTGTATCAGATAAATATTGAAGAAGAGGATTTGTATGTATCGGTTGTTTTTCTTGATGTTTATAATATGTTTCATAATTAAAATGTGGAGCAGGCGAAGTACTTCGATGTTCCTTATTGCCATAGACGTGGTTAGAACTACCCTAGAGGAACATTTTGTATTCGAATGAAATATATTTCTTATTTTATTATTCATCTTTTATTACTTTGTGTACTGTCGCCATAATTGTCTTCTATCTTCAAATTTCTGTTTTTATTTTCACAACAAATAATTTATATTTGCTTATCGAATGCTTTCATTCCTACCAATAGTTGTCATAGTAACAGCCTCCTTTATTCCTATTTAAATATTTCTTTTTCTTTTATTGTGCTTTCTTCATCTTTCTGTATTCAATACCCAATCTGTTATAAAACAAAAAACGCACACACACACACACACACTTTGACAAAAAATAATAAGATAACTGAATAAATCAAAAGAAAAATAATAGAATTTTTTTTTCTGTATAATCAACACAATCTTGATTTTTCTTTCATATAATAACACTAATGTTCAATCTGACGTCGTAGATTTTCCTTATTTTTATTTCCTAATGTCGACGTCGTTTACCACCATCAAGTAGATCACATCCATTCATTTCCTATTAAAAAAAGAAAAATCAAAACTATATTGTTTTTATTCATTTAATAAAAAACAAAAAAAACTATTTACGAAACAGCATGATTTATTATTGTTATTATTAGAAACTGGATAAAATGATGTTTCGTTGTCACTATCATCATCATCGTCATCATCATCATCATCATCATCATTGTCTGATAATCTCGTTGAATAAAATAAATCAGGTTCACTACTTGAATCATCCGATGAAGTCTATAGATATATAACAACCAACGAATGTTATTTTCTTAAAGTTTTTATTTTAAATACAAACTTCACTTCGTTGACGTTTGAATGAACCAAGTAAAGGGAAAGGATTAAATGAACTAGATACTATATGAGATCTTGAATCTGATGATTCATTATTATTATTATTATTATTAATTGATATAATATTATTCAGATTATTTCCTACATCTAAAATATATATGAACATGATTACATTCATGAGTAACATGAAATAATGAATAACAAACCTTCCGCATTTTCAATTGTTGGTTGCAATGGTGATGAATTTATGAGACGTTGTTGTTGTTGTTGTTGAGATCTTTGTATAGCAAGAATAATATTTCTTTCATCGTCATCATCGTCATCAGAGCTTGTTGATGATTCACTATCACCACCACCATTGCTACTAATAGGTATAAATAAAGAAGATGATTGTGTTGGTGTATTTAATTCTTGATTTCGTAACATTGATGATGAACTAGCAGCAGTAAGTGATGTATTTGAATTTGAATTTTCATTCCATACGTTAGGTGATGATAAAAAGGATGGTCGTTGGTTATGTCTTATTAAATATTGAGCTAAACGCCAATCATTTTCCGCTAAAAAAAAACGAGGAAGAAGAAAAAATTATTCTTGGTTCTTTTTTCTTTTTTGTTGTTTTAATAAATAATTACATGATAACATAGCACCGAAAAGTTCATTAACCGTCGATGGTAATGTATTTTCAGGTGGTAAGAGAACTTTAAGTAATTGTAATGCATGTTTAACTGTTCGTGGTTTCATATTAGCACGTAAGACAACATCAGCTATTTCACGTACAGCTTGTTTTCGTGTTATTTTTGATTCAGCATATAAGAGAACATCGCTTATATTCTAGATTTAGAAATAAGAAAAAGATTTGTTTTATTTTTTGAAATTTCAATTCAATATGATTCTTACATGATTATCATTATTTGTTGAATTATTATTGTCTATTGGTGATGATCGAATCATATTCGATGACATATTGTTGATGATTAAAAAAAAATATATATATTTTTTTTTTTAAACTCAAATCTACAATATTCTAATAGAAAAAAAAAAATAATAAGTTTATTAGTTTCTTTTTTCTTTTGTATAAGAAAATTTTGTGTAAAAATCTAAATGATCTTCAATTATTTACTTGATAAATGAAACATATTGTGTCGATTGAATTAAGTTATTAATCTTATCAGTTTCTATCTAAATTAATTCCTTATTAGATCAAGATTTAGACGATAAGGAATATATATTTCATCAAACTCAAAAATTGCTAATTGTTTCATACAACGTACCAAATATTTATATATGTCATATGAATTTTTCAATTAAATGTAGATATCATATAATCCAATATCGACATTTTCCATTAAATAATTATCAAGATAACTGAAGATTCTATATTATCAATAAATAATAATACTAGAAATTAAAAAAGAAACAATCTAATTATTAGACATATGAAATGTCCAAATCTCTCTCTCTCTCTCTCACTCCTTTTTTTTTTGTTTATATCGAGAACAACGAACATCACATACATAGACAAACCAAAACAATTAAACTTTCACAGAAGTTAAGAATAAAAAAAAAACAAAACAAAACCAACAAACAAACAAAGAACCAAATTTAAGAACATGTTATAGAACAAGGAAAGACTCATTTTTCGATCTCATTTTCATTACTATTTGTATCCTTAGTTATTGTTGTTTTATCGATAATAAATGGATTTTCATAAACAATATTTTTTGATGTCGGTGGTAATATTGGCATATCATCAGATGCACGCCTAGAATTATCAATAAATAAATCAAGTAAAACATCAAAGTGTCTTCTTACCATTTACTATTGACCCATTTATAATTACGAGCAGATGGCAATGACATACGAGGATGTGAATACATACAATTTGGACGCATACATTGAATACCAAATTTACATATCTAAAATTAAATATATAGTTAATATAGATTTCTATTAATATGAAGTTAATGTTAAATATTTCAATCGACTTTTCAACATGTATTAATCGTACAAAGAAGAAGCATATTTACAAACCAAAAACTTATTATAATTGAATTGATTTTATAATTAAAAGGACGCAGATATGATACAAGGTAATCATTCGGTTATTAATTAATAATTTTCAATGTTTGCCTTCAAGTAAAGAACATCGCTCGAAAATCAACTGATATATTAGATTAAAAAAATTGAGAAAAATATCAGACAGAACTTAATTGCTAACATTATAATTTCGAAATCTTTCTGAACGATTTAATCTAGCCATATACAACGTTCGTATAAATATTGATAGTAAATCATCAACACAGACATTCGCATTCGCTCTAACATTAAAGCAGTAACTCTAGCAAAATATGCTCCTTTTTTTTGTAGCGATGTGTATGTTAATTACACTGAGTCAGGAGTTAGTAAATTGAACATTCTTAAGTTAATCACTACATTTGAAATCATAATTCAAATTTAAATCAATAACAATTTTTTTCTGAATAGATTTTGAGTACTTGTAAAAATTGCCAAAAAAAAAACAAACAAATATTATACAGATATCTATTCTAGACTGAACTTTTTATTTTCAATTGGAATATAGCGCTTTTTTCATTAATACAAACACGGATAATTAGTTTGATTTTTTTCCTATACAAAATGTTTCATTATCCTTTATAATTAAAACTACGATAATCATGAGTGTTTGTGTACTTTGCAATTTTTACGCGCATATAAAACTTATTCATGGCTACGTTCATATTTAATTAAACAGATATTTTATAGAATATTGATTTAAAAAACTTACAATTGAACTTTCTTGTCGATTTGTTATTGATGATCGTCCAGTAGTTACATTGTTATTATTTGTTGATGAAGGTGATGATGCAGGAGTTGATGATGAATGTAAATAAGGACAATTAGATTTTGAACAAATACTACCAAAACGACATGGTGGATGAATATATAAACATTCTGTACCATAAACACAATTCGGAAAATGTCTAAAAAAAGAAAAGAAAGAAATTTCAAAAAAAAAAAAATTTTTAATTTACGTGCAACGTTGATTTGGATGAATAAATTCACATTGATCACCATTATGACAATCAGGCCAAAAACGACAACGTTTTAATTTTTTTCCTGATGTTGATAATGGATTTGTTGGTGGAGAATATTGTGGTTGATCATTATCATCTGACATCATATCATCACTTAATTTACGTTTAAACGTTCCATTTCCTCGTCCATCTTCATATTCATTTGAATTTATATTATTTCCATTATCATTATATGGATAATCATTTATCATCCAAATATTATTTATATCATCACCAGTTTCATAATCATTATTTACAACAACAACAAACTAAAAAGAAAAATAAAGATTTTTTTTTTTGGTTTTCAGAATTCAAAAACAAAAAAAAATTACTTCATCTTCTTCATCATCATCATCTTCAAATTCCATAGGTGATATATGTTGTTCATGATTTGATTTATTATCATCATCTGTTGTTGAACAATATTCATTTCGAATACAAATTTTCATTTTACCTAATGTTGGTTCACTTTTATGAATTAAACTTGTTGGATCAATCCATGTTGGTTCTTTAGCTTTTAAACGTTTTGCTAATGTTCTTGTTGTTAAACATTCAGTTGTACCATCTGGTTTCATAACTTTAACAATACCATTTGTTTTATTTAATTTCATTAAAACACTTTTATTTGCATCAGAAACAGCTTGTAAAAGAAGTTTTTTTGTTGGTTCATTTTCACGTTGTTTACGTTCATTATTATGATTTTGATTTGATTTTATTGATGATTCTTGTTGTTGTTTATAATCATTCTCATATTCATTATTATTATGTAATATTGTTCCAATTTGTGAATAAAGTGTACGTTGTTTTTTATGTGTTGATTCATTATCACTAAGACAACGACCACTTTTTAATATACGATTAACAGATGAACCAATTTCAAGTTTACGTCCACTAGATAATATTCTATATGAATTTTCATTTGCCATTATTATATCTAAAATACGAAGAAAAAAAAAACACCAGACATTGGGATTGTTTAATATACTAGAAAAATCAGACACGGGAAAAACAAAACAGGCAACAAAAAAACTTATAACAAAACTATGTTTGACTATTGAATGCATCAGCTATAGCTGTTGTAGCTGATTCTGTTTGCTGAGTATTGGACGATGATGATTTTTCTTTACTTCCATATAAATTTGGATATTTAGAAAAACATTCAGTTAGTTTGGAAAACTCTGAAAAACATTCAGAACCTTTAGTTTTTGAATCACTATTATGAAAACATGTAAATGCTCGACGAAAAGCTACACCACATGGACCTGAAGCCATACCACCAAGACATGGACAATCCCAATTAATAGAACCATTTGGTAAAATTAAACCTTAAAATAAAATAAAAAATATTTGTATCCAATTGATATGGATTAATAAAAGAGAATCGAATGTTTTTACAAAAATTTTAGTTTAAATATTATGTAGTAAGGTAGAAACTTTTGTAGAATTTTATTTTTCCTATTCAATAATTATTCTTATATGAAGCATCACTTATGGAAAAACTATTCTATCATAAATAAAAATTTAATTTAACAATGAATTTTAAAAATTCGTTTAAGTCAATTCATAGATTTTGATTAGAAAAATAAATCCAATATTTTGACACTTGATAAGTCGAACTTCAAAAATTAATATACTGTCAAGAATCTAACATAGAATATGTTATTCGATCTAATAGTTTCCATATACAAACTCGATGAAGAAACTCTTTACTACTAGTAAATATAAAAAGAATTTTATAATTAAAAAAACAAAAAAAAAAAATTTCAATTGAAATTCAACATACCATGTTGTTCCCATGAATCAAATGGTTCATCTTCTTTATGTTTAATTGTAGATGGAGAACTTAAATCATCTTTTGTTAAAAACATAACTTTATCTTTTCCACTATCTAAATAAAACATTTAAAAAAAATAATATATTTATATTTGTTTGTTTATTAATCATACCTTGTTTTGTACAAAACGACATGTTTTTTTTAATATGAGATAGCGATATAATAATTCAAATGATTTGTTTCTATAAATGACAGACACTTGGTAAAATACAATATATACTTATATAGGAATGGTTAAAATGAAAACCAATAAAAAATTTGTTTATATCCTCTTTGAAAGTAAACCAATCGATGGATGACTTTTTTTTTTCTCTGTGGAAAACAAGAAGAAAAATATCAATCTAGCTATATTGTTTCGATTGTTGGTTAAGAAAGAGAAAAATCGTTTGTCTTTATCATTTTATTTATATTTATTTTTCGAATATTTAATCAATCAGTTAAGTATTGTTATATATGTATCTTTTTTCTCTGTTGTTGCATTTTTTCATTGATTCTTCTCGTTTTTTTTTTTTTTTTTTTTCTTTTTGTTGCATTAGTTCTCTCAGAAAGAAAAAAGAAAGATAAGAGATTACATAGTTATGACCGAACAAAAGGAAGAGAGAGGGAGAGAGAGAGAGAGAGAAACAGAGACAGACAGACAGACAGACAGACACAGAGAGAAGTCTTCAAAAATATGTATAGTTGGTTTATCATTCATTGCGGCAAGTTACTTTTTTTGCGTTCTTTATGCATCAATCTTATTCTTTTAATGATGTTGCGTGTACGTGTATATGTATGTATGTGTATTCTAGGAAACCTCGTAAGAAAATAGAAAGAGAGACAGAGAGAGAACAACGCGACGAGTGAAGGAAAAGATTATAACACGAACAAACACCAAGGCATATAGGTATACGAGTCTATCGTTGTCGTATGAACAGGAGAAGCTTTGCGCTTTGATGACACGTTATACTAGTCTAAGTATAGAGGCAGATCGAACATTTATCTATATTACAGAATATCATAAATTTTCGTCTCCGAACAAGTCTATTGTCTTTTTGTAACCTATTCTTAGTACTTTGTTCATCAATTAGAAATATCCAATATCATATGAGAAGGACACAGCATGCTATCTTAACGAGCACTATTATATTTATCAATCGTAAGATGAGACAATATTTTTTTTATCTATGTCAAATCTCTTTTTTTCTTTTTTGTTCCTGATTTTTTTTTCCGAGGACTTGAGCACAAAAAAAGAACCGATGACATTGAGAAAACCAACAAGATACAAGGATATCATTATTAGACATGTTCGCTGTATCATTATCGTTATTTATATTGTGTACTTTCCCTATTATAGATTGAAGTCAATACAAAGAAAAAGAAAAGAGAGACACCAAGGAAAAGAGAAGAAGAAGAAAAAAAAAAAGAAAGAATAACTACCAACTGCCTTATGTTTGTTACCGGTCAATCAAATTAGCTCTATATGTGCAAGAAAAATACGTTCCTTTTTATTTGTCTATTTGAACTGATTACTATGTAGACGCCCCTAGCACTTGTTTTGAGAGAGCTTAGAATTTTTTAGTCCTTCGAGGAAAAAGATATATCAATGTATTGATCATTTATCAATTCGCTCGATTAAGCAAGACAATTAACACGTGTCTATATACCATTCAACTACTACTAAATAACAATATATATATATATTGATGCGCATGCGCTTGTTTAGCCTATTTCTTTTATAACCTATCTTTCTTTTTTTTTTTTCGTATTTTTCTTGTTCTGTTTAACGATAGTTTCGATGGCTCTAGCCTTTTTTTTCATCACATAGGCATGCAGGTTTAAAAAAAAAGTATATTAAATGACTCACACACACATATACAAAAAAAAACAAGTTATAAAAAAGATCGAACGTGAGTAAATGTTCTGTTTTAGATGTACTATTCTTTTAATAGCAACGTTGACTAATAATTATTAACATAGAAAAAAAAAAGAAAAAGAAACATGAGTGCTTTTCATTATGAATCAAATGAACATAATGGAACATCATCAAAACAACAACGATCTGGAAGTAGTGGACATGTTCAACGAAATTCGGTTGATGAATATATGATGCCAGAAGAAGAATGGGAACGTGAAGCTGTACTTGATCCAGCATGGGAACGACAACAAAAAAAAGTAATAAATTATTTCAAAAAAAAAAAATATATATATATTTTTTTTTTATTTTGTTTCTTATGATATATAGACATTTACTGCTTGGTGCAATTCACATTTACGTAAAGTTGGTACATCAATTGAAAATATTGAAGAAGATTTTCAAAATGGTCTTAAATTAATGCTTTTACTTGAAGTTATTTCAAATGAACAACTTCCTAAACCTGATCGTGGACGAATGAGGTTTATTAAAATAAATAAATAAATTTATTTAGTTGATTTAATTTTTTGATTTTTGTTAAAAAAATTTAGATTTCATAAAATAGCAAATGTAAATAAAGCATTAGATTTTATTGCAAGTAAAGGTGTTAAATTAATGGTTGGTGCTGAAGGTAAGAAATAAAAAAGCTTTTTTTAAAACTATACATGAAATTTTTTTTTAGAAATTGTTGATGGCAATTTAAAAATGACATTAGGAATGATTTGGACTATTATTTTACGTTTTGCTATTCAAGATATTTCAGTCGAAGGTAAATCACAAAAACAAACAAACTAAGAGATTTCATATATATATACATGATTTTGTTTGTTATAGAAATGTCTGCTAAAGAAGGTTTATTATTATGGTGTCAACGTAAAACATCACCATATAAAAATGTTAATGTACAAAATTTCCATACAAGGTTGAATATAATAGAAATAAAAAAAATTTATGTATTTATTTTTTTTAAATGACTGTAATATATTGTAGTTTTAAAGATGGTCTTGCATTTTGTGCACTTATTCATCGTCATCGTCCTGATTTACTTGATTATAGCAAATTAACTAAAGTAATTTATTATAAAAAATTAATTTTAAAAAACAATTGAATTAATTCAAATTCTTTTTTTTTTTAGGATGATCCATTAACAAATTTAAATCTTGCTTTTGATATAGCTGAAAAACATTTAGATATACCAAAAATGCTTGATGCTGAAGGTGAGTATTTTTCACTGATTTTTTTTTGTTTTTAATAATTTTTACAAGAAAAACGAACCCTACTAAGCTAAATAGATATGGTCGATACTATTAGACCGGATGAAAAGTCAGTTATGACATATGTCAGTGCTTATTATCATGCATTTGCTGGCGTTTATAAGGTGTTGTAAAAGAAAATAATGTTTCCGTTTTTATTTACTTTGCTGTGAAAGCATGAATTTTTTATAATTATCCTTTATAAATTATTTCCTGCATGATTTTGTGTGTTGTGTCTTTTTATAGAAATCAATAACAGCATAAAAGCCGATGAAAAAGTTGTGATGACATATGTATCATCATATTATCATGCTTTTTCTACAACACAAAAGGTAATTCTTTTTTTTTAAAACATAGATTTTATTCATAATAAAATCAAAAAAAAATATATATATATAAAATAATAATTTTATTATTATTATTATTATTTTTATGTGTAGGCTGAACAAGCAGCTAGTCGTATATGTAAAGTATTGAGTATTAATCAAGAAAATGAACAAATGATGGTTGAATATGAACGATTAGCATCTGATTTACTTGAATGGATTAAAGAAAAACGTCCATGGTTAGAAAATCGTGCTACTGATAATACACTTGATGGTACACAAGCAAAATTAGGTGAATTTCGTGATTATTGTCGTTCACAAAAACCACCAAAATTATCACAAAAAGCTAAACTTGAAACTGATTTTAATACACTTCAAACACGTCTTCGTTTATCAAATCGACCAGCTTTTACACCTAATGAAGGCAAATTAATTGCTGTAAGATAATAACAAAAAAAAAGAAAAATCAAATAAATAAGTTTTTTTTTTTTCCTATTTTTTAGAATATTGTCGAAGCTTGGAAAGGTCTTGAATTAGCTGAAAAAGGTTTCGAAGATTGGCTATTAAGAGAATTACGTCGGTAAGAAAGCTTATTTAATTGAAAAATAATGAAAAATAT